TTCCACCTCCGTGTGCCTGAAGCCACACCCAAAGGGGTATGATCACCAATTCAGGTTCACAGACCAGATGCCTACAAGAAATGTTTGGTTTTACACTGTGATTTGGACTGTGTAATCTCTGGTTCATGTTGACCTAAGCAGTGTTGAATACAGATTCAGTGTGCTGGCCTGGACCTTAATTCAAATCAGCTATTTGCTGGATTCCCTGATGTTCTGTGCTGCTGTTGCTCTAGCATAACTTTCAGAAAGAACAGATTGGATATCACAGTATTTGTGGCTGTATTAGTGTCCATATGTCTCTCCAAGTATTCTGCAGAGTACCTTCTTGTAGAAACCAGAGTGTAGAGATGATAGTATCTAGCTATCTCCATTTTGTGGAGAACAACCTTTAGACTTAGCAACAGACTGGGTTTTGGGAGAACTTCCATGGGACCCACATTGGTCAATGACTCAATTGAATACAATCTAGGCCTGACTCTCACCTTAAGTATTAAATGTTAATAAGGGAAAGTAATTTAAGACTCCTTATCCTGCAATACTTGGGTCATTTTTAGGGTCACCTTCATACTTTCCAAGAAGTTTCCATGGCAGTAGGTTTCCATGACATCCTAATTCCAGCTATGTCTTCCTGCACTCTCATCCTCTATCCCATATATACCCCTACATGATCTCCATGTTTTTGTCCCCATCCATACACAATCTGTCCATAAATTCCATTCTATTTCCCAACCTCAGTAACTTCCATGCATCTCTGTTAGACCTCTGATGTTGACCTGACCTCTCAGGATCTACTGCCCGTAGCTTCATTATCATTCACTTAATGGCCAATATCAATATATCTATTTATAAATAAATACATGTTATATTTATCTGTCTCATAAGTCATTTGAATTATATTTCCTGATACAACTTATCCTTCTCTGATCTCTTATGTCATTGATATCTAGGCTAACTGTAACTTTATCAGATTAGCAGTAGCAGGCAACAGCCACCTTCTTTGTTCATCTTTAGCTATTTCTCTTGGTAAGAAATGACAGATAGGGTTACCTTGCTAACAGGTTTATATTAACAGATAAACAACTTCAGGTGTAACTATTTTACAGTTCCTTTATCAAAAAGAATATGCCTTGGAATGACTGATCTTAATTAAAACTATTCACATCACCGGTAAATGATAAGATGGGAAGAAAAACAGTTTAAAGTCCAATAAGTTCTAAAGGTCTACCAAATGAATCAAGACATTTAAAAAAGGGAAAACATTTCAAACTTATGACTCTACACTATTGCATACTAAGATTTCAAAGGTATAGTGTTTTAACATTGGTCAATGGAGTTCTGATAAACTGTTAGAACACTGACTACTTATTATTACAACGCAGGATTTTAAATTTCCTTTTGTTGTCATCTATGTATAGACTTAAATGTGCTTCTCATAGAGCTAAAACATCTCTGTCTGATCAATATATCTGGATCTTTGGACAAAGAAAAATGCTCATGCTTTTAAATCCAATCTTATAATTTCTTTTTCCAGAAGTCAAGGACATAATTTTACTCCTGCTGTTTAACAATGCGAATTTCAGTATGGATTGGTGCTAATGTATCTAAAATCTAAATCTCTTTTATTAAATCAAAAGTTCAGGCAAGTTTCAAGAAGTCAAGGGAATCATAAGACTTGAATTCACCTATCAGAGTTGAAAAGGACTCCAGAAAAGTACAATTTAAGTTTTTCCACCTGTATATTCCTTTAAATAAATCCAAGGATCAGGCTTTCAACTTCACCTCATATTCTCATAATAATAAAATCATGAATCTCCTGAATCTGTTTTGAAACATTGATGGATTTTAATTTTCTTTTATTTTGTTTATATTTTGTACATACTAAAAATATATCTATGTGTATCTGAACTCACTAAGTGCAATAAAAATCAGCTTTCTAGAAAGATACAAATTAATCATTGACTTATATTTTTCTTCCCATAATTTATTAGCAATAAAGTGTCACCATTTTTACATACTCATTATCAAAATTGAAATTTTGTTTACAACATTTTTTCTTATCTTCTAGTTGTGATAACAAAATACCATATACTGATAAATCTTACAACTCTGGGCAAATCAGTCCCGTATCATGGTTATTTGAGATGAATGCTGATAGCACACATTCCTGATCACAAACCATCAGTATTCACTTCTCCATAGTGACATCAGACAGGAATCTATTAGGTCCTACATGTTAAGGTGTATACTAAAATCTCTGAGGGCTCTGGCTTATTGTTTTCATTTCCCAATCACTTGGTTTCTTATTTTCAATGTATTATCCACGTATCTTTGTTAAAGAAAAATCATGCAATATATTCCAATCAAGATTTTCTCCTCTCCTCATCATAGAAAATCCTTCCCAGCTCCTCACTCACCAAATTCCATGCCCTTTCTTTCTCTCTTTAGAAAAATAAGAAGCAAAAAAATTAAAAAGATACAACAACTAGCAAACAAATTACCCAAAGAAAATAAGAAACTCACACACAATAGTCTGGTATTATTTAAACATCTGATTAAAAACATCACATCTCTGGTCAAAAGATGTTGAGTTGAATGAGAAGTTAAGGTATTAACAGTATTCTATCTAAGTTAATTATTCTCAGGAATTTCTCCTGATATCTCATATTGGGCCACATGATTTCATGACTCAGAGGAGCACTTTGTCTTCAATTCTGAAATATTTTCATGAAAGATCATTTGACACTGGAATCTGTAAAACTAAATGTCCCTAGGAAAACTTAGTACATGTAATGTTGACTTAAAAATAGAAGAGTCTAGGGTGAGAATGCATTGTTGGATGGGCACCCAAAGTCCATTTGTGCGCCTGGGATAAATACTGATCTACTACCCAAGGCCCAATAGATTGCCTAGGCCTCCTCACTGACAGGGTAAATGAAGGGGGATTGGGGGGGTTGGTAGGAGGGTGTGGGAGGAGGGGAGGGAAAGGGAGAGGGGCCTGGGATTGACATGTGAAGCAACCTTGTTTCTAAGTTAAATTTAAATTTAAAATTTAAAAAAAGAAGAGTCTTCAGTGAGCTTTCAAAATTAGGTTCAGATCTATAGTTTTTCAGGAAGGTTTTTTTAGGGCTTAAGCCATGGGAAATATGAATATACAGTTTATGAAAAAGGTATATCAAGGATATATTCTCAGGTAAGACATTCATCTCTCAGGAACTTAATTATTTTGTGTGTATTCAATTTTTTGTTCTTTCTTCAAACTATGAAGTGTCTATTTATATACATAGTATGTGCCATACTCTTAGGCAGGATTTTCTTAATAATGGCTAATAAACCTTCCTAATTTTTATATTATATGGAGTTTTGTTTTGTTCTTTTTTGCTGTCTCATGTTGTTGAACACGTAAGATACATATTAAAGTTTCCATTACTAGGATGATTCAATGTTTTAGAAATTGTATGTTTATATTTTCTCCTCGCATATAACAATTTAAAAATAGGTGCTAATTAATTACTGTTCAGAGAAAGAAATTGCAGACAATTATATAACTAGATCTAAGGAAGAAAAAATAAAATAGAAATCAGGGGATGAAATGAGGGAAGACACTTCAAGCACCTTGACATAAATTGCCAAGATTTAGTACTTGTGTTAATCAAACACTGCTGATCTTCCTAATTCATGTCTACACAAACCTGAACACTAGTTTTCAGCAAGGAAAGAGATATATTGATTGAGGGAGCCATTGTAGAGCTAGCCAGAACCTGGCACTAGGGAAATTCCCAGGAATCCACAAGGATGACCCCAGCCAAGAAGTTAACCAGTAGTCGAGGGGGTGTTTGAATTGGCCTTTCCATGTAATCAGATTGATGACTACCTGTATTTTTATCATAGAAGCTTCATCCAGCAACTAATGGGAGCAGATGAGGAGATCCATAGCTAATCATTGGGCTAAGCTTCCAGGGTTCAGACAAAGAGAGGGAAGAGTGCTAATAGAAATAAAGGGGGAAATACAATTTTGGGGATACCCTCAGAAACAGCTGACCTGAGCTAGTGGGAGCTCACTGATTCTGGACTGACAGTGGGAGGAACCTGAGTAGGAAGAAAGTAGGCCCTTTGAATATGGGTGACAATAGTGTGATCTGGGCAACCTGTGAGCCCACTGACAGTGAGAGCATGATTTATCCCTAGTGCTTGAACTGGCTTTTTCGGAGTGCATTCTCTTTGGAGGGAAAGCTTGCTCAGCCTAGATATAGCAGGGAGTGCCTTAGTCCAGCCTCAAAGGGATGCACCAGACTTTGTTGACTCCCCATGGGAAGTCTTACCCTCTCTGAGGAGTGAATTGCAGGTGGGGTGGGGGAAAGGTGGGAGAAACAGCAGGAATGGAGGGAGTAGGAACTGGGATTAGCATTTAAAATGAGAAGATATTGTTTTAAAATTAAAAAGTCATTAAAAAGATCACTACAGAGACACTCTCTCCTCTCCCTCTCTCTCTCTGTCTCTCTCTCTGTACCAGGACATGGTACCTACCTCCGAGAAAGATGGTATCCTAAAAGTGGATTAGAGCAACTCTTCTGGAACTGAATCAACAGGAGTTAAGACTGCTATGAAGTTCAGGGTATATTGATATTGTACAGTAATTTCGATATACATAATATACTTAACTTCAATTAAGCTATTTCATTAGCTTCAAAAAATACCTGTATCTGCCAAAGGCAATGAATAAATATGAAACATATCATAATAAATAAGATAAATATGTAACAGACAGAAAGTATAGACACATGAAACTTGGACACAATTGAAATGTTTAGAAAACTTATTCAGAGAGATAATTAAATGAGATTTAAAGGAAACTAAGCATAAATATGGGAAGTTTTCCCACAAAATTAGATTTTAGAACTAATATATTTTGTTAACTTATTACGTGATACAATCTTTGTCATTTGTGATACATAATGAATTGAAAGCAATCATGCACACTTACATCTAAAAATCATGCAAAATCACATTTTATTCTTCAACTTTTCCAGAGCATCTTTCACATCCTTGTTCCTCAGACTGTAAATCAGAGGGTTCAGCATTGGTATCATCAGTGTGTAAAACAGTGATGCCATTTTGTCTTGATCAAGGGAATAGGAAGAACTTGGCCGGAAATACATAAATAGCAGAGTTCCCTGAAAAATTGCAACAGCAGTCAAGTGGGAGGCACAGGTGGAGAAAGCTTTAAACCTCCCCTCAGCAGAGTGGATCTTAAAGACTGATGAGATGATGTAACAGTAGGAGACAAGGAGTCCTGAAATGGTGCTCAGCTCAATGAACCCAAAAATTGTGAATATTGCTAATTCATTAACCTCTGTATCTGAGCAAGATATTAATAGAAGTGGAGGAACGTCACAGAAGAAATGGTTGATCTCATTGGATTCACAAAAACACAAGCGGAAGACAAGGGTAGAATGTATGAAGGCATCTAATGTTCCCACCAGGTAAACCCCAGCTATGAGCATAGAACACACCCTATTTGACATGTTTGCTGTATACAGCAAGGGGTTGCTGATGGCCTGGTACCTATCAAAGGCCATCACTGCCAGCAGTAGACACTCAGAATCAACAAAGGCACAGAGAGTAAAGAACTGCAAAACACAGCCAACCATGGAAATTGATTTCTTCTCAGCGAAAAGATCCACCAGCATCTTGGGTCCAATTGCTGTGGAATAACAGAGGTCACAGAACGAGAGGTGGCTAAGGAAAAAGTACATGGGTGTGTGGAGTTGAGAGTCCATTCTAATTAAAATGATCATACCAAGGTTGGCCAGTAGATTAATAAGATAAACAAGTAGGAATGTGGTGAAGAGGGCCACTTTTGTGTCAGGGTTATTAGTAATTCCCAAGAAAACAAATTCACCTGGAGAGGAGCAATTTCCTTTATCCATTTTTCTTGGATGAACTTTAAAAGATAAAGAATATGTCCAAATACATTTATTATGCAGAGAATTATTTTATTTTACCCTCAAATGTATATAATTATACTTCAATCTTCAAATAAGATTGCATTATTTAGTTGTATTAATCTATGTGATATAACAATTAATTCACTCTGGAATCTAGGTGTTCTTGACAAATTTTACTTTCTGTACATTAATTTCCCTGAATCTGCCTTCCTTAACAGGAATTATATATTTAACATACTGTCATATTTTAATCTGAAAAATAATATATAATCACCTCATAAGTTAGTGAAACTAAGTAGTGAGATATTGTACTTTTAAATTCACGGGCCTTAATGTTCAAATGTAAACAAAATTATACCCCAAACATCAAGATGCTATGGAAAACTGTGAATTTAAAAGTGATAACTGTTACTAATCAATGAAACAGCTAATGCCTTCTACTATTTGACAACAAATTTTCTATACATTAGTATGTGGTAAGTAACAAATAATTCCTGATTATTTTTGTTTCCGAATATCTGTGTTGTTTTGGCCATCAGGCTTATTGAATATTTAAGAAAGCAATTGGAACTAAAGGATAAATCTTCTAATCATTCAAAGGAAAAGCTTCAAAAATATTGTGAACGACCTGAAGTCATAAATGAACAGTCACAGCTGCAGATATTGTTTATTTAAGGTTACAAATATGGAAACAACATGAAGATAAAAACTAGTACAATAAATAACTTCATTTGTATGTGCAGTTGAAAGAATTTTTATGATTTTCCAAGTATGTGTGACTTAGTTAATCTATAAATATTAGAATGTAGCGATGAATTTTTAAGAGAGAATTTGATTCACTATTTAGTCTATTTTTCTCATTTCATTGTGAGATTAAAATTCCCATTTTAATATCTTAATAAAATTTCCATAGTCTATCTCAATAAAATTTATAAAAGGTAGGCAAAAATACAGACAAGCAGTATACAGCCTTTGAGTTCACATATGTATCTATCCACAGTTTGAGATTAATAGTAGTTTCTAGTAATGTGTTAAAGGAAAATAGTCAAATATAGTTTTATAGAGACAAATATGTGCAGTCAGAATCTTACTGTTCTAAATACAAAATAGTATTTTATTAGATTTAAATGTATCATCTAAGTAGGCTGTGAGAGTTAATTAATTTAAAAATTATTTAGACTTTTCTGAAAAGGTCATTTCTAGTTTGTATTACTGGATTTGGAATATCAGGAGCTTACCGGTGGCGAGGTGATTTTTTGGTGGAAGAGCATGGATGATAAATTATTTTGTAACATATACCACATGAGACTTATATCCCTGCAGCCTCTTCCCCTTAGGCTTTGTTACTATGAAAATGTGATTAAATTTACTCATGATTTTATATTCCCTTGTGAGTACAATGAGTTCCTCATTATAGTTGAGACCATAATTTCTTATTATTGTCATCAACTTGGCTTGTCAGAGTGAATATTTCAATGTAATTTTATGTTGTACAATATATACAGAACATGTATATATATATATGTATAAATATATTATACAGCAACATATGATTTGTATTTCATTTAATTGTATCAGAATTTAATGAAAATGTAATTTCTACTTCTAGGAAATCATTTCTAATACTTGTTCACAGTTCACCTTCTACTTTTGAAATACTTCACTGCTTTAATGTCTGCAACTATATTTTGAATATTTACTTGGTATACTATTTAATTGATACTTGATGGATCCACACATTTGCCATACCTGTACCCAGAATAAGTTTTAGCATATGACCAACTGTGGTGCTTCCATCATACTCTTCATTTCCACTTCCTAGAAAATGTCATAAATGATACTTTCAGCAGTACAAATCATGGGGCGTCTATGCCACCTAGAAATCTAACGGGGACAGAATGTGTCACATATCAGTTCAAATGTTAAAAACAATGCAAAGTTAAGGGCTGGAGCTATGATAACTCAGTGACTAAGGGCACTTGTAACTCTTGCAGAAGACAGGGATCCTGATTTCAACACAAGCAGCACAGTTCACAGCTCTCTGTAACTGTAATCCCCAGCATTAAGATGCCTTCTTCTGGTCTCCATCTTGCTTAGCATGCATGTGATACACCACATTCACAGAGACACACTAAAGACTCGTGCACATTAAGTAAAAACACATAGTCTTAAACAAAATTACATACAGAAACATAAATTTGAATGGCTTATCTTCGATGAAATTATGTTGAATTACATATATTATTGTAAGTTTAGATGAAATTGAATTAAAATTGAGGTCAGTTTCTTCAGTTAATTTCAGGTATATGTATTTGTTTTATTTTGGAAGAACTCTTATTTACATATTAATTTTCCCATTCCCTCACCCTCCCATCCACCCATGCTATCCACTGCCCTCCCAACCCACCCGCCAACCACAGTGCAGGGATAGTGAATCCCTCCATGGGGACTGTCAAAGTCCATCAGATCATTTGGCGGAAGGCCTAGGCCCTCTTTCTTGTATCTGGACTCCAATATTTTCCCTCTGTAGGGGATGGGCTCCCAAAGTCAATTTGTGATCTAGGGATAAAAACTAGCTCCACTGTTAGAGGTCGCATAGACTTCCCTGGCCTCCTAGCTGGCACCCACATTCAGAGGGCTTGGTTCAGTTCACTGATGGTTCACCAGCTTTATGACTAGGGTCTTTGTGCTGTCACTATGTCAGGTCAACTATTTCTGGGGGTTTCTCCAGCACAGTCTTGGCTCCTTTACTCATCTGTCCTCCCTCTCCACAACTGGATTCTAAGAGTGTGTATGGCTCAGTATTTAGCTGTGGATGCCTGTTTCTGCTTCAGTCAGCTACTGAATGAAGTTTCTTTGAATGGCAACTAAGGTAGTCATCAATCTCATTACAGATGAAGGGCATCAAAGGCAGCCTCTCGACCAAGGCCTAGATTTGTATTGGGGTTCATCCCAGTATATTCCCTAACTTTTCCCCTGTGCAAAACCTCTCTCCAAGCCTACACTGGCTCCTGCTATCAAGGAATCTCCTTTCTTACCCTTCTCCATTCCTCCCTTGTATCAGTCCTCCTATTCTCTCCTGTTCTCCTCCATGGACACTATTTCTGTCTCCCTCCAACATAATTTATCTCTGACTCTTTTGCTTGCTCTTGAAACTCTTTTCCTCCTATTTAGTTGCCTTGTCCAGCATCAATATGAGGGCTTTTGCCTTGTCATAGTGTGTATTGTCTTTTTTTGTTTAGCTATTTTCTTTGGCGCCTACTGTTTTTTGGAAAAGTAATTGTATGGGGAGTGGATCTGAAAGACAGAGGAAGTAGGGGAACTAGGAGGAGTGGAGGGAGAGGAAACTCTGCTTCGGAAGTATTGTATGAGAGAAGAATCTATTTTCAATAAATATTTTTAAATTCCTTAAAAATATTTTGTGGTTAGGAAATTTGGGCAACAGTGACTTTCACTTCAGTCAAAATACCTATATAAAAATAATTTATTCCTAAAAATGATTAACCATGTTACTAACTAAAGAGTACTTTCAAAGGGTCAAGAACCACTGGATAAATTGGGTGCACGGGAGAGGAGGAGGGAGGTAAGAGAAAGAGGAGTGGAGAAGAGGACCGAGGTGGAGAATGTGAAGGATCAGGAAGACTGAGTCAGGAGAGGAATAGAGGAGAGTAAGAAAAGAAACACATCAATAAAGGTTTAAAGAGAAATCTAACACAAGGGAATTGCACAGAGATTCACAAGCATGATGCCAACTTAGTCCCTAAACAATAGTGTAGAGGTATCTTAAATACCTTTCCCCTATAATTAAAATGATGACTACCTTAAATGTCATCGTAGAGCCTTCATCCAGTAGCTGGTGGAAGAAGAAGCAGACACCCACAACACTGAGCCAAACTTCTGGAATCCAGTTTCAGAGAGGGAGGAGTGACCAACAAAGGGGTCAAGACTATGCTGGAGAAACCCACAGAAACAGCTGACCTGAACAAGTGGGAACTCATAGACCCCCAGTCTGACAGTTTGGGAACTAATATAGGACCAAACCAGGTGCCCTGAAAGTGAGTGTCAGCAAGGACCATTGGGAAGTCTATGGGGATTCTGGCAGTGGAACCAGGATGTATCCCTAGTGCACGAATGGACTTTGGAAGTCCATTTCCAATGGAGGGATACTCTCTTATTTTAGATACACAGAGGAGGGCTTAGGCTCTGCCCCAAAACACTTGACAGATTTTGATGACCTCTTATGGAAGGCCTCATCCTCCCTTGGGAGTGGATGGGGGATGGGATGGGGGTGCTGCTGGGAGGCATGGGAGGATGGGAAGGAGAGGGAACTTGAATTGATGTGTAAAATAAGATAGTTTCTTATTTAAATAGAATATGTGAAAAAGAATACTTTCAAAAGTGAAGAAAGGAATGGATCCTGAGATCAAAGAGAGCTACTTTATCATATATATGCACAAAGAAATATATATGTGTGTATGTGTGTTCTGTGTATACATAAATGCAGATATACATACATTTGTATATTTACCTGAATACACACATATGTACCTTGTGGTACCCTTACTCAAATATATAATTTTAGTAGTGAACACTTCAAACTACATATATGCTGAAGATAGTGATGTATTTTCAGACAAGAACATAGAAGAAGATATTAATTGGCCACATCAAAGCCTGGGGGAAATGATTTCATAAATCTCAGTCTCAAATGGCAGTTGGCACAATAAAATACCACTGTAAGAGTTTGCAGGCACTGAAGATCTACTCTTATCAGGTGGGTTCCTACATACATGTATTTTCAAAAACAGGGTAAAAGCAAAAGATTTCCATTTTATTTTATTAGAAACAAGTGATGATTTTACTGCCTGCTCAATTTAAATGAATATTAAATTCAATGAATGAAAATATTTTTAAGAGGAATTATGATTCTCATAAAACTTTATAGCATCAGCAACATAGCATTTTCTCTATTTTATTTTATT